CCCCTTAATGTTGTAATGGGTTTTGGGTACACCACCAGCCAGGTATCATCACGTGCATTTGCAGTGGTCTTAGCCTTACAGTGATATGACTCAAATTTTACAGGACGTCCGTGTGGCAGGTTTGGCCAGCAGTGTGTGCACCCACACCCACAGACGGCAGCCACCTTCATGACAGAATTTGGCCAACCCTGCCCTGGAGAAAAGCCCCATCCCTGCACACAACAGTCTGCCTCACAGACGGTTATGTCCAGTGTTCCCTCTAAGCTGAGTTAGTGTGAGCTAGCTCACAGTTTTTTAGCCTCCGGCTCACACATTTTTGCCTTAGCTCAGGCAGGGTGGCTCCAGAGCAAGCTGATTTAGACAGTAGCCAAATCGCCTCACTCACAACTTCAATGCCAGTAGCTCACAAAGTAGAATTTTTGCTCACAGGACTCCACAGCTTAGAGGGAGCACTGGTTATGTCTCTCTACTTTAACCTGTGCACAAGGAGAAAAAGAAACCCCGTCTGTCTCAGGACTGTGGGACCTCTGATGCCGCTTCTCCTTCTCTTCTTCCACGTTCTCCAGCTTCTCCAATAAGCTGGAAGGGACCTCAAGGGTCATCTAGACCAGCCCCTTGCACAACATAGGAAATTCACACTACGCACACACACTGCACTCCCAGTGACCCCTGCTCTATGCCCAGAAGAGGACACAAAACCTCCAGGACCCCCCTGGGCTAATCTGGCCTGGAAGAAAATTCCTTCCTGACCCCAGATCCTCCTCAGATCTTCTCTCCAGACATTCACCTCCCCCCCCCACCCCGGTCGCTTTCTATGACTCATCCCAGAACCAAAAGGCCGCTGGGCCGGACTCCAAGCCCTTAATCCTCCCCGAAGCCCTGGAGCTGCAGATCGGATTCCAGCGCCCGCAACCTCGGCTACAGTTTCCAGCCCCGGGAGCTGGACACGGGGCAGAGGGTTGCTGGAACGCTTTTTAGCCTCCTCTGTTGTGATTCTTTGACACAGAAAAGGGTTCCCCCCCCCCCCCGGATGGGGGAGTTATCGGTAGGGAGGCCGAACACACACAAAAGGCAGCATCTTCAGGCAGAATCCAGTGAGAATATTCTTTTTTAATATAAAACGTCTTACTGTAATACAAATAGCAAACACACAGATGTGCTGTCGGCGTTAACACTGGTAGCTGCAACTGGAGGTGGGGGGGGCCCTTCGGCTGCATACCCGCCAGACCCCCACCCAAATACTTTTTGGGGCAGTGGGAAGGCCAGGGTTCCCCTGCTGCCGAACCCCTTTCAAAAACACCCGTTCCCCTGTGTGTCAGTGTATCGGTTCACACACGCAAGCTTATCCCTTGGTACTCGGTGGGGGGCCGACCCAATGTTACATTCGAGGTGCCGTGAAAGACCCTGGCTGGTAGTGTCCGCTCTGTCATGGCCCATTCAGACGTGTGAACGACCACCGGACCTTAGTGCAGTCACCGAGGGGTGGACGTGCCGCATGCCCACGACTGCAGCAAGGCAACCCGGTCTCCTTTCCCGCACGCAGACCATTTCTGCCGCTCAGCCTCCCCACCGGCAGGCAGAGAAGAAGAGGAGACTGGATTTATACCTCGCCCTTCACTCGGAGTCTCCAAAGTGGCTCACAATCTCCTTCCCTTCCTCTCCCCACGACAGAGATCCTGTGAGGTAGGTGGGGCTGAGTGAGCTCTGACTGAGAACTGCTCTTGAGAGAACAGCTCAGAGAGAACTTGTGGCTTGCCCAAGGTCACCCAGCTGGCTGCATGTGGAGGAGTGGGGAATCAAATCTGGTTCTCCCAGATTAGAGCCTGTGCACTTAACCGCTACACCAAACTGGCGCGTGTGTTGCACTGGCAATACCTCTTCACATTCACAATCAACTTAACTAAGGGTGCCTGTATAGAAACCTCGCAGCTTCCCTGCAGTACATTCAGTATCTGTCACATTTCCACCCCGTCCTTCCCCCAAGGTGCACGAGGTGCCGCGCCTGCTTCTCCCCTCCTCCACGATCCTCTCCACAAACCCTGTGAGGTAGGTAAGCCTGAGGAAAGCGGCTGGCCCAAGTCTGCCCAGTGAACTTCCATGGCGGAGTGGGGACTGGAACTCAGGTCTAGTCCGTCGCTCTAATCCCTAAACCACACCAGGGGATGGTGATGTGCAGCCTACAGGATCGATTTCGGATCCAGGTTGATCACCCGCTCACTGAGTGGCATCAGACCAGATCGCTTTCTCTTAGTGAAATCAACCTCGAAAGGGTGTTGTGAGGTTAGAAGGGAAGGGGAAGGCATCCGCCATGTACATCGCTCTGAACTCCTCGAAGAAAGAGCGGGATTAAAACAGTAAGGGGGGAGGGTTATACAGTTTCGCCATTGCATCAAACGGGCAAAGGAATCAGTACAAGTGGAACTGTGCAGACGGAATATTGAATTTCATTTTTTTAAAAAGCAAGTTTCCAGGCCTTAAGACTGCAAAAAAGGGGCACTGGACGTGCATTCGGGGAACATCTGCCTATTCGGAGCAGCCACTTGGCTAGTGTCTTGGCCCCCACGTTCTATGACCTACGGAAGCAGAATAAAAACAGAGGACAGATCTCGTCGGGCCGTTCCACTAAGGGCAGCACCCAGTTCCTGCACAAGGAACATCCTTGCTCCGGTGGCAGGCGGGAACTATCGCAGTGAGTGGGAAGGCTCCGATCAAGCCTGAAAAATGCAAATCAAGGATACTGATACAAAATCTACTTGGATTTGAAAAGGTTGCAGAATTCAGTTCTTCTTGGCATAAAATCAGGGCTTACCTCACGTCTTCTTTCCCCCAGAACTGCACAGTAGGCAGAGGGCAAAATTCCAGACTCTCTCTGTCAGGGCTGACAGGCTGATAACAAAACTAATAAAACGAATTCTCCAAATTGCACAACGGGAACAAACAAGGTAAACATGTGCCATAATATTCGCTCACCACTCCCAAGCTGGCGCCACCTGCACCTTTTTGTCTAGGTGGCTGTGGCTGAATTTTGACTGGGACGGGAGGGAGACGGGAAAGGGGGGGGAAAGGACGCAAAAACACATCCATACTTACTTCTAAGTAAGCAGGCACAGGACTGGGTTTATCGTTGGGGGGCAAGTAACAAGCAAACTTGCTTGTAGAGTGCGAGACCCACGTGAAGATGCCTTCCAACTGCCCTGTGCTTTTTCTGGAGGAAAAACATCACAACACTGACAGATTATTTGCTACAGCAGTCCGGACTAAAGCCTTGCTTTTTATAAATTAAAAAGGCTACACACACACACACACACACACAAGCTGAAATTTTGTCTGAGCTGCTGGATTTTATGTTCCACAGAACTCTCTTGGGTGTACAGGTACAGAGAACTAACTTCCGTGTGGTCTGTTGCCTCCTACCTTGTATGTTTTTAACCTGCCTGTGATTCAAGGAACTTGTAACAGCCTAGCCGGTTCTCCCACCCCCACTGTAAACTAACAACCGCCTTGTGAGGTAGGTTAGGCTAAGAATTGGACTAGCCCAAGGTCATGTAGAGAGCCGTGCGGGTATTTGAACCCCATCTGCCCAGATTCTAGGCCAACGCTCTAAAAACGTTGGGGAGGGGCTGTGGCTCAACGGTGGAGCATCTGCTTGGAAGTTCCCAGGTTCAATCCCCGGCATCTCCAGTGGAAAGATCTGGCAGTAGGTGATGGGAAAGACCTCTGCCTGAGACCTTGGAGAGACCCTGCCAGCCTGAGCAGACAACACCGACTTTGATGGACCCAGGCCCTGATTCAATACAAGGCAGCTTCATGTTTTCAAGTGTACACTGGCTATAAATGCACAATCCATGCAAAGGTACCGCAGACTCCGGAGGTGTGCAAGCACTTTCCCCCTTAACGCACAGATCGTGTGGCGTCTTGCCGCAAAGCAAAGCTTCGCGTGTGGAACTGAGCCCGACGAAACAGCCCAACCACTCCCGGGGGGGGGGGGGGGAGAGCCTCTGAATCGATTCCAAAAGTGGCATTACTTGGTAACGTGAGCCCGCTCGGGGTTGGGGCGGGCACCGAAGCAGTCAGTCCCCCTCCCATGTGCACACACCAGCAGTGCTGCCGGGGTTACCATCTGGGGGGGGTCTACCCAGAACTACAGTTTAGGGCAGAAGCTTATCACCGTTAAATTCCTTTACAAAAAAAAAAAAACCCAGCACCTTCCCTGCCATTCATTTTGCAGTAAACTTCACAGTTCGCAACAGCCGGCGGCTTTGCTTATTCTGTGGATCGGGGTGGGGAGGGACAGGAGGGAAGCAGCGACTTAAAAAAAAACACCAGTGGAGGTTCGAGGGGCCTCGACACAAACCAAAGAGGCCCGGTGTGAAGTCAAACGGGAATAGGCGCTACTTGCAGGGCTCTTTTTGTAGCAGGAACTCCTTTGCATATTAGGCCACACACCCCTAATGTAGCCAATCCTCCAAGAGCTTACAGAGCTCTTCTTACAGGGGCTACTGTAAGCTCTTGGAGGATTGGCTACACTAGGGACTTGCAAGTATTGAAACACGCACGGTCAGGTCCCTCGGCTTCGTCCCGCTAACAGTGGCGCTTCACCTCCAAGATTTCCCACTCGTGCAGGAGAAAGTGCTGGTGTGGGCAGTACAGTACAGATCCACGGGATCCAACACAGGAGTAAGCCCAAAGGCTTATGCACAGGATGGGGGGTGAGGGGAAAAGAGGGGAGACCGTGCTAAAGGAAGTTCTAGCCGTGTTGGTCTGGAGTGGGACAGCTCGGTTGGAGTCCAGTGGGACCTTAGAGAGCGACAAGATTTCCAAGGTGACAGCTTCCAAGAGTCAAAGCTCCCTTCGTCAGGTCGCAACGGAGGTCTCTGAGACTTCATATCCCCGTCAGGAGATGGGTGGGGCACGTAAGGGCTCAGATCTCCGTGCTTGCTTGCATCCGACAAAGGGAACTTTTGACCCTTGGGAGCTCATTCCCTGGCGAACTTGCCGGGTCTCTAAGGTGCTACTCGACTCGAATCTAGCCTTGCTAAAGAAAGTAGACTGCAAGGAGAGAAAAGCTCTCACAAAAGAATTTCAGAGCGCGCGCCTTCTTTCTCACCCAAAGCACGAGGACAGGAGAAACGGAGCCTACCGAAAATTCGTCTTCTTCTTTTTCAACTACCGAAGGTTCGGGTCCCCCAACCTAGACCGGAGCCTTTTTTGAGGACGACGCGCGACACGCCAGATGACCTTGAGGGGTTCATTCTAGGAGCGAGAAGGTGGCCAGGGGTCGATCCCCCTAGGGGGATCCTATCCAAAGGACATGGAGTCATCTTTTCTGCTGGGCCAAATTGCAGCAGAAGCCCCACCCAGCTGACGAATAACGCTGACGGGGTCCAACTATTTCCCTCCCAGCAGCACAGACGGGTTCTGAGGCGGCTCTCAAGAAGAACCCACCTTAAGACTGAGAACGAGAGAACACACTGGGAGGCTCACAGCAAAATGGACGCGGGGATACCGGGATGAGGGGCAGACACAGAAGGGTACGTTCCCTGATAGACACACTGGCCCGAAGTCAGTCAAGGGAGAAGAGGACTACAGCTGCCTTCACATCCCACAGAGACCGCCAACCAAAACCCAAGAGGAGTCTGAGGGCGTGCATATACCACCGATTAAACTGACGCTCCCTCTAACCATCACCTTCTGATTTGCTTACATGGAGACGTGGCAAATCAGAGGCTGAAGCGAGGTGAGAGGGTCAACAGTCCCTCGGGGCGAGATTCGGAGCTCTTGCTTCACCCGAACAACCACGAGCAGGGCTGTGGTCAACAGCGGTGGCCACGGTCCCCCAGAGATACTTGGTGACCCGCGCATGACCCAAAGAGTCAGTGAGAGGACGAACATCCTACAGCTTCTTGTCTTTGTCTTGAGAGCCGGGTGATGTTTTGATTCAGTTGAGATGCAGAGGACAGGCTCTCGAGAAGCGAGAGCAGCCAGGTGCAGGAAAGGCAGGGCTCAGGGAGGGGCGGCGTTCCCAGCTCCGCACCGCAGGCCCGGTAGTTGTTTGAGAGGATTATGAGGCTGATCCCCATGTGTGGCTTTCCTGGGAGGAAGGCCCCAGTTCTAAGAGCTCCGCGGGCAACCCACGAGTCCAAACACAGGGGGCTCTTCTGCCTTATGGAGGGGGAAGGAGATGTGCATGCTTATTCCCAATAGCGAATGGCACTCTGGACACACCTGGGATACTGGGCCCATTCTAGGATTCAAGGCTTCTAGCCACAGTCGCTGCCGGCTCCTCCTCCTCCTCCACAGGCTGTAGCAAGGAACTGAATGCAACCACGGCCTTTGCTCTTTGCAGAAGAGAAAGACAGCAGAATGATGAGGGCGACGCTCCCCTGAAGCAACGCAACGGGGGGGGGGGGTCACACGTCGTAGTTGGGCAGGTAGCTGTAGGAGGGCCCGCCGGCTGACGGGGAGCTGCAGTTGCATGGGAAGAACCAGCAGATCATGAAGCCTAGACGGAGGGGAGAGGAGAGAGGTGAGATTGCTGCACACAGCCTCATCGCGGTCTCGTGTCTGAACGGCGATCGACGAGCCGCGGGAAGATCAACCTTCCCCATGTTCCCCGTGCCCCCCCCCGCACACGCTATCGTACCGCGGCCGAACACCTCTCGCAGAAGGGCAATCTTGGGCTTCCGTGTGTGCGCCACCTCCCGGTGCGGCTCCTTCCGGAGTCGGTTGCGGAGCTGCTCGATCGGGGTCTCGTCTGTGATGATGGAAACCACCTGGGGGACAAGCGACGGGCAGGACAAAAAGGGGTTGGGTTGAGAGAATTAGAGACGGAAACGCTCGCTGGTCTTTCGTGCTGCTGTGACTGGAAAAATCCAGTTTCCTCCTGGAGGGGGCCCTCCAAAAATCCAAGATGTCCCTCTCCCCCACAATGACAAAAATGTTATCCAGAGATGGGGTGATACACATGAGTCTTGGGAACATTCCCTGATATGGGGGAGCCCATATCTCTATGGCAGAGCCCAAGCAGAAGGCCCTGGGTCTAATCCCTGGCATCTCGAATTGAAAGGATATCAGGAGTTGGGGAAGGCCTAGTATGATTTTCTGGAGAGCTGCTGCCAGTCAGAACAGAAAATACTGGCCTAGGTGGTCCAGTGACATAAGGCAATTTCCTGTTTGGGGAGGACACAGCTCAGTGGTTCAGCTGCTGCTTGGTTCGCAGGAACTCCCAGGTTCGATCCCTGGAATCTTCCATTCAAAGAACCTGCTGAGGCCTCGGGAGAGCTGCTTCCCATCTGAGTAGACAATAACGGGTTGGTTGAACTACATGGCTGACAGTACCAGGCAGGTTCATGCACGGCTCCTATTGGATGATGCCCAAATGGCTGACAGTACAAGACAGGTTCATGCACTGCTCCTACTGGACAGTGCCCATGCCGTCACGCATAATTTCCATTCTGGCTAAGCAATCTGCAACTTTATAGGTTTGATTTCGTTGGTGGGGCGCGGGTCGTTGGTTTACGAGGACTGACATCCAATTAAAAAACTTTTTCAGTTGACTGACAGAGACCAAAGCCTCCTAAAACCCACCTGGTCGTAGAATATGACTGTGACGAAGAGGCCAAAGAGGACAGATTCCACCAACAAAATGATGCGGTGGGCGCTAGAGGAAGGGAAGGGGGGAAAGCACAGTCAGTTCATCAGCTAGGAACTCAGTGAGCGCACCTCAAGCTTCCAGGGGGCAGAAGGAAGTGCTGGACTCGCTTTATCAGACCCATCCACATACCCTAGGAACCCAAGGGGGGGGGAGACAGATGGCAGGACAGCACAGCTTTCTCTCTCCACATGACTGGGGGACAGCAAAAGGGATGAGTGCAAGATACGCGGCAAGGCCGGGCAACCTCAAGAAAAAGGTGACCAGAAATTTGGGGGTTAGTAGCAATGCCTGACGGTATCCTGGTAAGTGGGGTCAACTAATTAAATAGTTCACAAGCAGATTTTGGATTCTCTTTTTATGTTCCTCATGCAAGCCTGCATATACCTAAGCAAAGATAGCCTATTGTGTGTCTGTCAAGAGTCCTTTATTTTACCCAAGAATTTCACAAAAGAGACATCAGAATGCATTTTAAGAAGAAGAAAAGAGATTGGATTTATACCTTGCCCTTCACTACCTGAAAAGAGTGGCTCACAATCTCCTTTCCCCTCCCCTCCCCACAACAGACACCCTGTGAGGTAGGTGGGGCTGAGGGATCTTTCGAGGACTGCCCTTGAGAGAACAGCTCTGAGAGAACTTGTGACTGACCCAAAGTCACACCAGCTGGCTTCATGTGGGGGAGTGGGGGATCAAACCCGGTTCTCCCGGATTCGGGTCCGCGCTCCTAACCACGACACCAAACTGGCATTCGCTGGCTGGAAAGTGGTTGCAGGTGGGCAGCTGTGTTAATCTGCAATAGAAGAGCAAAGATCCGAATCCGGTAGCACCTTAAAGACCAACAGAGCTTTTCCAGGTTATAAGCTTTCGAAGGCCAAAGCTTTCTTCGCCAGACAAATCAGTTACTGATGAAGGGAGCGCTGACCATCGAATGCTTCTAGCCTTGGAATACTTTGTTGGGCTTTAAGGTGGCTGCAGGATCCGAATCTGGCTAGAAGGTCGGAAAGCAGCAAATTCCTCACTGAGAAACTGGGTCGAGTATTACCCGTATGGTTTCCTCTCCCTCTCCGCTGGACAAAGGCTTGCAGGTCGCCACGTGACAAGGAAAAGCAAGCTGGCATGCCGCTGAGGGATGCCTGGCCCCCGAGAAGGACACACGCACATACACACGCCGACGCCCTTCCTGGCCCAAACGCCTGACACTGCTACCGAGATGCTGTTTCCAGGGCTGCCCGTGCAGTAAGCCAAGGGGGGCGGGGAGGCTCTGGGGTTGACGGGGCAACAGACGCCCGGACCTCTGCTCCTGCTCTTTCACCGGAGCGGTTCGGCTGCTGTGGGAAAGGCCGGCCCTGAGCATCCTGCCCGGGCCCTGAGCCAACGCTTTGAAGCCCGAGGTTGCTCTTGGCACGATCTCTGTGACACGGCACTTTCTTCCAAACGCAAAATGCAACGCTCAGCAGAAGGCCGAGAGGAAGGATTCGCCGGGCCTCGGCAACTCCCCCCCCCACACCTCTTGTAAGAAGACTTGGAACTCTAGCTTAGAGGTGAGAGGGAGAAGTGGGTACTCACGTTTGGAGGGGGTGGCCTGGAGCGCTTCCCTCGGCTCCCACGGTGTCCAGAGGCCAGAGCCACGTGGTCAGGACCAGCCCCATGGCGTAAAGGCTAGCCAAGCCTGCGGCCGGGAAAGTTGAGATGACACAGGTTAGGAAGGACTATTTTTTGAAAAGCTCTTGGGTCAGCGGATCGTAATTCCCTGACCTCATCATCGTGAGCTTCATTTACAGCCTGCCTTTCTCACTGAGTCTCAAGGTGGATGTTTTGCTGCTGCTGAGGTCAAGTGGAAGCCGATACGGCAACTCCTCCATGGAGTTTCCAAGCCGAGAGGCCTTCAGAAGTGGTTTGCTACTGCCTGCCTCCCTATCACGACCCTGGTATTCCTTGGTGGTCATCCAAATCCTGACCTGATTGGGCTAGCCTGGCCTATCCAGGTCAGGAGCGAGACAGGTTGAGTATGTGCTGCGTGCCATCAAGCGGGTTCTGACTTACGGTGGGTCCTATGAATGAATGACCTCCAAAACGTCACATCTTTAACAGCGGTCTTGGTCAGGTCTTGCAGACTGAGGGCCGTGGCTTCCTTTTTTATTATTATTGTTACTTTTATTGTTACTTTTATTGTTACTTTTATTGTTACTTTTATTGTTACTATTATTGTTACTATTATTATTATTATTAGAGATTGGATTTATAACCCGCCCTTCACTCAGAGTCTCAGAGCGGCTTACAAACTCCTTTCCCTCCCCCTCCCCACAACGGACACCCTGTGAGGTGGGTGGAGCTGAGAGAACTCTGACACAAACTGCTCTTTTTCAAGGACAGCTGTGCCAGAGCTTGTGACTGACCCAAGGTCACACCAGCAGCTGCAAGTGGAGGAGTGGGGAATCAAACCCGGTTCTCCCAGATTAGAGTCCGCACACTTAACCACTACACCAAACTAGCTCATGATGATGATGATGATGATGATGATGATGATGATGATGATGATGATGCCCATGTGCTTGCTGCCTGGATGTCATGGAGACTTCTGACGACCCCCTACTGGGGCTTGGACATTTGAGAGAGCTGGCTTGCTAATGCCTGCCTCCGCGTCCTGAGCCTTGGTACTCCCTCGAGGCCTCCCTTCCAAGTACTTCCCCCCTGGCAATGCTCCCTCTGAGCCGTGGAGTCTTGTGAGCAAAAACCCTACTTTGTGAGCTCCTGGCATTAAAACTGTGAGCGAGCGGTTTGGCTCCTGCATGAATTAGTTTGCTCTGGAGCCCTCCCCCCTCAGCGAAGAGGGAACACTGCTTACCGGGGCCGGCCCTGCTTAACTTCTGAGATCTGACGAGATCGGGCTTGCCTGGACTATCCAGGTCAGAAAACGACGAAGAAGAGATTGGATTTATACCCCGCCCTTCACTCGGAGTCTCAGAGGGTCTTACAACCGCCTTCCATTCCCTCCCCACGACAGACACCCTGTGAGGTAGGTGGGGCTGAGAGAGCGCTGAGAGAATTGGGACTGGCCCAAGGTCACCCAGAAGGCCTCATGTGTCTCAAAGTGACTTACAATCACCTTTCCTTCCTCTTCCCGCAACAGGCACCTTGTGAGGCAGGTGGGGCTGAGAGAGCTCTTTAGAGGACTGCTCTTGAGAGAACAGCTCCGAGAGAACTGTGGCTTGCCCAAGGTCACGCCAGCAGCTGCACGTGGAGGAGTGGGGGAACCAAACCCAAGTTCTCCCAGATCAGAGTCCGTGCTCCCAAGCACGACACCAAACTGGCTCTCACAGTCCTCACAGTCACACCAACTGGCTTAGAAATGGCTCGAGAGGAACTACGCAGCACGGAGCTCGGGATCCAAGGAGCCCAAGAACAGCCTGCCCCTTCTCCATCCCTTGCTGCCGGCCGAGAGGGCACCGATGGCCTCAGCAGAAGGGGGGAGAGCCAAGGCCAGCCTTCCGCCGGACATCCTTCCTGCGACCGCGTTGACGGCATCGGGGGCCAGGCAGCTGAAGGATGTTCCGGCCCTCGGGGCGTCTGTGCCATATTGATGCAATTCTTATCTTTATTGCTAGCCGGAGCCTATTCATTGAAAGGCAGGGCAGGGATTTAATAAAACCAACCAGCGGATAGAGCCAAAGCCCGTACGGAAAAGGAATGAGGAACGGCTGGGTCGGGG